GTGGCTTTGGAATCCTGAACAAAATGAGCCGTCGGCAAGCACCTAAAGCCCCGTTTACACTACAGTCAATTTATCGGCACAGCACGGCTAAAATGGGTACCTGTGCCCAATTTCACTAGTGGTCAAGCTACCAAAACAAAGGCCGGGCGCGGAATAAATGGGCACGGGTACCCATTTTAGCCTTGCCGTGCCAATAAATCGAGTGTAGTGTAAACGGGGCTTATATATATCCTAGTATGAATATTTGATCATCCGTCTATTGTCAACACTTCAAAAACTGATTAATGGTCTCGGAGAATGCTTTAAGGCCCCTTTAACTTGCGTTTTTTGCTGCGATTTTTGGCGTTTTTCATTTGTGGGAAATTCCAGAAATTTTGCCAAAAATCAAATGGAACATGGTTATTTCTGGACAATAATTTTGAAATGTTTTCATTATGACACTGGACATTCCGGAAACGCAATCTGAATTTTCTGCTAAAATGGAAAGTGCTCTTTAAGTGCCATTTTCCTCTTTGAATAGATATGAATGAGTAATTAGTTACGAATGATCTGATGTGTAAGAACTGCATGTTATTTTAATATCAGTGATTACTCATTTACATCTATTAAAAGAAGAAAATCGCACATAAAATCGCAGTAAAAAATTATCGGAACACGCAGATCCACAAAAAAGTTCGATTGCTAAACAGTTGTCGGAATGTGAACACGCCAATTACATGCTTAAGTTACACCACCTCTTTGACAACCTTTATGAACAGTAGCGTAGCCAACCTGACGATTTTGTCCCGCTATGTAAATTTTGAGTTATTATAATTATTCACTTCTTACGAAATTCATTTTTTTCACAGTCAATGAACACCAAAATATTAGCATAGCCGGACAAATCGTCAGGCTGGCTACGCTACTGTTTATGAAACCAAATTTAACCAATGACAATGATACCGCAAAGAAACCTGATACAATGCTCTCTCTTCTTATATATATATATATATATATATATATATATATATATATATATATATATATATATATATATATATATATATATATATATATATATACACCAATTTGCAAAAACGTTGGCCGCAGATAGATAGATAGATAGATACTCGAAGTCTAATTAGAATTGCATATGATTACATTTGCATGGGATTTCAATCATATTACACAACATATGCAATTCTAATTAGATTTCGAGTATCTATCTATATATCTATCTGTGCCCAACGTTTTTGCAAACGGGTGTATATATATATATATATATATATTTGGTCTTTGGTCTTTGGTCTTTTGGTTTTAAGCATTTGGCATGAGCCACGGAGCGTTCAGCCTGGCTGCATCGTTCACGCTCTCGTGTATTTTACAAAATGCCATAGATCCAGACAAAATTGATGATTTATGGAGTAGGTGCAACATTTGACCACCTTTTAGAACGGCAATTTTTGTAAATTTTTGGCAGCTTCTCTCATGTTGAAGCAAACAAAATAGCTTGTCAATTGTTTTGGAAATTACCATGCTATTATTTTGATATTCGATTTCTAGTTACTGAGGGCCTTCGTCAGGAAAGTTCGTATGAAAATAAATAGGGGAGAATACATGTTTTGTATGGGAGGAAAAATAAGTGATAAAAATGGGCCAATAGAAAACAAAAAAAAAATATGAATACATTATATTGTTAAAGAGACGCCTGATTGTGGGCTAGGAATAGCCCACAATGGCCAGGTCCAACAAGGAAGGAATGAGCGTAACAAGAGGAGCAGCATTTGTTTCATCCAACTCTCCTGAATTGTAATTCAAAACTTTTTAAAGAAATCCAGTTAGAGGTAAACAGATATATTATATAAGTAAATATTTTCGCAGATCCCATGCATCCATGGAAGAGTCATAAGGCTAAACTTTGTCAAGTCAAGTGATGAGGACCAAAAACAGCTAAGGAAATTCCTCAATGTTATGGAGATTAAGAAGGTAAGCATATGGGTTAAGGGGAATCCCTACAGTTAAAGTACAGTTCAACCACGTAAGTCATCCCCGTGATCCACGAGTGGAATTATTTCTTGTATCATGTCAGCAGTTTGCAAATTTGCCTTTAAACTGTTAGACCTGTTTTTCTAGCGTTTCTTTCTTCTCTTTTGAATTTGAAACTTTGAACATTTATTCAGCATAGCAAGGAATAAATCTCATTGGACTTTCACGAAATTCTGCATTATGGTACGCGCGGTAAGCTTTTCTTTATGAATATCTCGAAATCGTTATGCCTCCAAAATAGATATGAGAAAATTTCACTGATTGTCAGTGTACGTGAACAAATATGTATATTGTCGCTTAATTTCAAAATTTGGCAATAAAATGCAATTGAATATGGTTGCCATATCAACACTAACAGTTTTCCTAATTGTGTATATATTATACCCAGGTAAGGCCAGGTCGATCCGACTGCTCTTCCTTAAGTGTATTCAGTATAAATTAGGTTGACATTTAGGGTTATGAACTTATGTAAAAATATCTTTGATCAGATTTGTTTAGTTTCCTGAAATCTGTTATGCCATAATTCGTACAGAAATGATTAATATAAATTAAATGCACGCGTCTGTGTATTTATAAAGGCTTTCCGCTCGCTTGCGCAATTCGTTATTTTAATTTCTGGGTGATGGTGACATCACAACATCCATATCACAATATGTACAAATATATATTTTATTAATGGCGTGCATGGCAGACAACCGCCAGGCCACGAACACATGAGTATTCCATCTGTGGCATTCATACAACGCCGGCCATACACGTGTAGTTATAAATAGTTATCTCTTATCGCTCCTCACACATAGACCTGTTAGCGAAAGACCACTTAACGAGAGAAAAAACAACAAGATAAACAGATTTTAATAATAAGTACATTATCGTTTTTTCAGGAAAAAAGCAAACAAGTATATTTATATCGATTTTTTATTTGGTTGTATACTTACTTGTGCAGTGTATTTAGACTTACATAAAGTCTTTCACATTTTAATTGCAAAATCAAAATGACGGACGTCGCTTGTCCCTCTAAAGGCGGTTTTCCACTAGCGATATATTTCGCGCGAAAGAATAAAGTCGCTTCGCTCGAAAAATAACGCTGGTGGAAAACCAGCTTTAAGTCAGGGCCTCGGCTTCGCCTCGTGAAATATCGACCGGACTCAGGTTCCCCAAACATAATTTTTTTCGGTCGACGGTGAATAAGTGTTACTTTAATTACTCATGCGAGGGTGAATACAATTCAAGATTAGCCTAGCCATGCCGGTTGAGTCGGATTTGGCATACTTACGAACAAAACGCATGCATATTAGCACGATAAAACCGAAAAAATATTTGGAGTGCCTCGTCGAGATCCTTTAGCATTCGTGCCTAGGTTTCGGCACGTATTTTTCGTGGATTGCAGATTTTTGATGTACACTGTCAATGACACAAATTTTAATCGTAGCTACGTCACGATATTAAGGAAAATGAACATAATGAAGTGGAAGCTTCAACAACATTAAAACGGTGTACTTTAATATCCCAATTGCTAATAGTTTGAAAAGCTCTAAATTTCCATTTTTAATGCAACCGTTTGTCAAAATCAGCCTTGCTTGACTTCCTGACTTTTATCCATTATTTTACAGTTTTGGCTTTCTGGCCTTTCTTAGATTCTCTAGGGATATTTAGTTTGTTTGCATAATAACATTCTGCCATTTTGTTTTGTCATGTAATAATTAATCTCATTATCGCAACCTCGTGAACCATTTTGTGTGAAACTGGATGCGCCTGATGATGTACAAAAAGTAAATGCGACCATTTCAATTCACCAAGTTCAACAACAAGAGAAAACAATGTTGTGATTTTGACGAATATGCTATGTTCAAGTCCAGATAAGATTTATTTTTCCACGAATCTCGTCTTTCATAATTAATTTCGATTATAGTTGTTTTATCTCCGCAGAAAAGTTCTGCATCTCGACTGTGTCAATGTTCATCAACGAAAGGATCCCTCAACGCCTCGTGAGCATAAGGTCTCTCATGAATTTTGTGATTGATCAGCCTCGACACAAAATTTTGAGCTTTGCGATCACCAAGTTTCTTCAAATTAACAGAGTTCCCTTTTGATATATTTCTCATTCGATCAAACCTGGAACCAAAAGGGTGTTCACCTTTAGTTAAGACGTAGAAAGCAATCATACCTGCTACCTGGACATCTGATTTCCTTTTAAACGACTTTTTCATCTTTCTCAATGGCTTGAGCTACTTCCATGGCATCCATCCAGGAGTACCTTTGGCGAATGTTACAACTGTTGTTTCATCGTCATTCAAAATACGGCTTATTCCAAAGTCTGCCAATTTCATGTGACCTTCGATATCAACCAGGACGTTTGAAGGTTTTAAATCTCTGTGCAATATTCCTTCACCATGAAGAAATTCAAGTCCTGATAGAATTTCTAGTCATTCGTGGACCATGCTCTTGTAGATGTTCAATACTGCATGCATGAACAAGTTCCTCAAGTTTTCCTCGCAAAGATCAACAATAAGATACATGAACTCATTGCCAGAGTGAAAATAACGATAGCTCACTATAAATGGACAGTTTTTCGTTTCAATGAGACTCATAATTTCCTTTTCGTTTTCAACTGTTTTATCCTCACTTTGTGTTGTGTTTTCTTGTCTTGATCTAAATCTTAGATTCATTCGGATTGCAAAGTATATCTTTACTATAAGTTCGATATTACAAAGAGAAGCTAGGCTATTTATATACATACAAACCCGGAAGTAACTAGCCGGATGCGAGATATACAACATCCTCCTTCTAAAAGAGATATAATATAATATATATTTTTTTTCTTTTCCTAAATTTTAAAAAACTTATGATCTAAAATACTTATGCTGAAATTGTCTTTATCAATTGTTCTACTTTATCTAATTTATTTTAATTCTATTTAATGATATTATCTACTTGTATATTTGCTGTCCGGCTTCTTTACTATGCGACCTGTCTCACATCACCCGGTTGCCTCCACAGGCTGCACGATTTATCAGTTCAGGTGTCTTCTGTATATCAGGCTTGATTAACTGTCTATTCCTCCGTAACTGAACTCCGGATCCATCCTCTGTAATATAAGAACGAGGAGTTGGTCCAAAACCAACTACTCTCGCTGGACTCCACGTTTTGTTAACAGGGTCTTGAACTTGTACCGCTTGATTTTGAAAGAGATTTGGCTTCTCCTTCGAATCCCTGTTATATAGATTTACTTGTTTCTTTTGTTGTGTTAATAACAAGTCTCTGGTTTCGTACCGATCGCTTGGTGGATGAATCTTTACTGGTAATGTTGACTTGAACATTCTTCCATTTAGTAGCTCTGCTGGAGATTTGAGTGTTGTACTTAACGGGGTAGAACGCAACGACAGTAATGCAAGACTAGGATCAGCTCCTGATTCCTTGCATTTCAACAGGATCTTCTTCACAGTTTGGACCTGTCTCTCAATGAAACCATGCCCCTTTGGGTAATGAGGTGACGAAGTGACTACTTTAAAACCATATCTCTTCGCTAGGTCTTGAAATTGGGCAGAAGTGAATTGAGATCCATTATCACAAATGAGCGTTTCTGGTATGCCTTGCTCAGAAAATATCGATCTAACCACATTAACTACAGTGGTTGCTGTTAAATTATTTAATTTCTTCACAAATGGAAATTTCGAGTAATAGTCAGCAATAACAATGTACCAGAAATTATTTACCTTAAACAGGTCTGCGCTCACAGTATGCCATGGTCTTGGCGGTACTTCGCTTGGAATCATGGGTTCCTTTTGCTGTGAATTCTGGAATTTCTTGCAGGCACAACAGGACACCACCATACTCTCAATCTCTTTATATATACCGGGCCAATAAACGCAGGATTTTGAACGGAGTTTGCACTTCTCCATCCCTTGATGACCACTATGGATTTCTCGCATTATCTTCTGCCGGAGTGATTCTGGAAAAATTCTACTGCCTAAGAATAGAAGTCCTTCTTGGATAGAAATGTCATCTCGGTTATTCCAGTAAGGCTTTACTGCTTGCTGTATTTTCTTTATGCTATCAGGCCACCCTTGTATAACTTGCTCGCTGAGTATTTGAAGAGTTCCATCTCTAGCAGTTTCTTCTTTATCTGTTGGAGCTCGACAGGTGGAAATTCTACTAGATGATGAATTTTCACACGCATTCCTGGGATTTCGTCTCCCTTCCTTGGTGACAGTCTCGATAGGGTATCTGCCTGGCTTGTATTTGATGATACAACCGTATGGTTGCAATCGTAGAAGCATTCTTTGAAGTCGAGGAGGTGCCATGTCGAGATTTTTCTTCTGGATCTGTTCCAAAGGACGATGATCACTTTCCACAACGAATTGCCTCCCATATAAGTAAGTGTGGAATTTCTCACATCCATATATCACTGCCAATAACTCACGCTCGATGTTGGCGTACCTACTCTCAGCAGGGGTTAAGGCTTTCGATGCAAACGCAATGGGCTTGTTCTCTTGTAATAGAACGGCTCCCAAGCCTTTACTTGATGCGTCTACTTGTAGCACAACTGACTTGCTTCTATCGTAGTAGGAAAGTGTAGTTTCTGTGCTTATTTGACACTTGAGTATGTTAAAAGCTCTTGTATGTGACGGAGACCATTGGTAATCAACGTTATCCCGGATTAACTCTCTCAAAGGTGCCGTGTGACTCGCCAAGTTGGGCATAAATGGCGCTAAATAGTTGACCATTCCAAGGAACGTGTGAAGTTCTTTCTTATCTTTGGGTGGTTCCATGTTCTGTATGGCTATGACCTTCTCTGGATCAGGTTTGACTCCATTCGCGGTATATACCATACCAAAAAAACTGCATTCAGCGGTCTTGATGATGCATTTCTCTCGGTTGAGTTTGATGCCAGCCATTCTTGTACGTTCCATTGCATCATGAAGATATAGATCGTGATTTGACTCATCTTGGCCATGGACTGTGATGTCGTCCGCAATCCCAGCAGCACCAAGACAGTTCCGATAGACTTCATCAATCTTGAATTGGAAGACATCCTGGCTCATTCGAAGACCAAACGGCATTCTTAGGAATCTATATCGACCATTTGGTGTATTAAATGTGGTTAGATATGATGATTCATCATCTAACTTAACATTCCAGTATCCATTACGAGCGTCTAATTTGCTGAATATCTTAGCTCCAGCTAACTTTGGGGTGATTTCCTCTAAGGTGGGTGTTGGATAGTGGTCCCGCATAATTGCTTCGTTCAGGTCTTTGGGATCCAAACATATCCGAAGCCTTCCATTAGGCTTCTCCCTTATAACTATAGAATTTACCCACTCGGTTGGTTTTGTTACCTTTTCTATTACACCGCTCTTTTCCATCTCGTCAAGTTCGAAATTTAGTTTATCTACCAGCTCTAATGGTACTTTACGAGGCGCATGAATAACTGGTTTAACTTTAGGATCTAGGGTTATATGGTATGTGTAATCTTCAAAACATCCAACTGACCCATCAAAACATTCTGGATACATCTCGATCAGATTCTCTTTATCCTTTATACGAGGACGGTCTGTGATTGGCACAGAGGGTTTAATATAACTTCTAGACCGACTTTGTTGCTGATTTACTATCTTTGCTTGATCCGCAAATCTAATACTCTTAGTGGACTTAACTTTCTCTTCACTAGGCCCCTGGGCAACACCTTGAGGGATGTTTCTTCCTTGTACCACTTTTGTTTCCAGCGCACAATGGAGTGAAACCAGTCCAAGGGCTCTACACGCTTTTATTCCCAATATAGCTGGACCTACTGCATCAGTTACATAAAAAACACAATTAAATTTTCCCCTTTTGTGCTGACATGGTATTAGTACTTTTCCAAATTGGGTAATCTCATATCCCCCATACGCAGTTAAGATAACCTCACTTCTTTGTAGAGCACCGTCCCTGGGCATCCCTTCTGCATTAATGAAGGAATGTTTAAAGTTCTCCAGGAACGACTACCACGAACACACACAACCCTAGCGCGAAGAAGAGCGAAAGCTATCTTCTTACGTAACCAGTTGAGAACTATGGAGGAACTAAAGTTCTTTTTCTCAGCCAGTTTGCCTGCTAGGAACGAGAGGAAGTGAGAAGTCTCCCTTCCACATCCACCATAGGCACTAAAAACGACTGGGGTGAAGGAGCCATGTTCAACTTCAACAATTCTTTGATTATAATGACGTTTCTTCTCACGTTCGTTGGCGTTAAACGAGCTGGTAAGAGTCTGGCGGCGATGTGTCGAAGCGTAAGGATTAAACACCCTGTCATCAAAAAATGCTTTTTCACATCTCTGCCAGAAACCTCTCGCAGCTATGTCCACTCTAGCATCATCGGCAGAATTAGCACTGGATGGAAGTACTTCGCCAGTTAAAGGAGCAAGAGCAGGTTCAGTAGAAACGTCATAGGCCACGTCGTCTATGGCAGAAGCGAGAAGGTCACGGATTTCGTCATGTCGTCGATGAATAAAACCTCCTTTCAGGCACGACAAGGCATGGTCCACGGTGAAAGATTTTCCACAAGCGCAGAAGGATGGAAGGCGCTTCAATGGCCACCGATAACGCATATAGATTGCGTCAAAGAACTCTGGTTTCGTGAAGACATACCCTTCATTAGCAAGTGGCAGTGCTGTCAACCAAGCTGAGGATCCCTTCAACTGGGCTAGATCATTTGCTCGAATTTGCTCTTCACTCATACTTGATCTCAAGTTCTGCAAGACCAGCTTGTTTTGGGCATGTCGATGATTAATTATCTCACGGCGCAAATCGTAGATGGATGCTCCATTTTCATTTGCTGGAGCGTCATCATTCTGATGGACGATCTTGCTTGAGAGATTTTGACAGATGGTCTTTGAGTTCTCATTTTCTTCATCGCACAGGTCGGAGAAGATAGGTATTCCAAGACCCCCATTCTCGTCGGCAGTGACAGTAACTTCCTCTCATGGATGGAAACACTACGGTTGTCTAGGAGCGCTGGCAGGAGCTTCAGGCTGATGGAATCATCTACCACTCGCATCGCAGTCTTGATACCTGGAACAGTGCGTATATGGTAAGTAAACTGTGCCGAAACCCTGATACAAATGCAGCATATGCAGCTTGGGGCTCAAATTTAGCAATTTCACTTAAAATGTAGATTTGCTGACACCATTTACTAACTAAAGACGAGATGTACTTATCTTTCCCATCTTCAGAGCCAAGATATCCTCCAAGGTACTTATGTCCTTCAGTTGTTATACGAACACCAGTTCCTGCGAACATCTCTTTGGCGGTCTGCTCCAGGTGCGGCTTCACAATCAACCAGGATTTGTCAGCACGCGGATAGTAACCAAGACGGGGACCATAAAATCAATGTTCTTCCACCAGGAACGCAAATGAGCAAGTGTACCAGCACCACTAAGGTCATCAGCAAAGGCAACATGTCGAACACGCTAGCATCAGATTTAATCAACTGCAGCAAGGGTGTAATGGCAACAGCATACAGCGGCATGGCTAATGGATCACCCTGTGTGGTACCTTCTGCAGAAGTAATTTCTTTCCCTCCTTGGAAAAACAATCTTGATGCTGTGACATAACAGTTGAAGGTGTAAATTGCCATGGCAGGACAAATGTACTGAATGTTGTGCAACATGATTCTCCGGTTAATTGAGTTGAATGCGTTTGTGGCATCCACCAATAACACAGCATCCGTTTCATCTTCTGCAAAGATTTCTGACATGGCATGAACTGCCGCCTCACAGCCAGCTGGTTGTCCAGCACAAAGCTGAACATCACCTGCACTTTCCATGATTTGAGGCTTGATTGCAAAGATAATTGACTTCCCGATGATCCTACGAAGCACTCACCAATTCCGATGGGACGAACACCTGGGTTCTTACCAGTGGTATTAAGCGACACGCCAAAAACGCCTCCAAACTTGTGGTCTGATCTGGTTCAATATCAACCTTCCGTGTTGCAAGTGTTCTCGCCATTAACGCAATCGCGGATCGCAGATCTCTTCCAGCGTCCCCATAATTGCGAGACACTAAAATATGCCGCCAGCCAAGTGCATCAAGACCAGAAGGACCAGCTGTCCTATTGCTGACACCATGGCATACAAAATGGTATGTCTAGGAGAAAATACATATATACACCATGTATATATGTATATACATGGCATGCATATACACCATGTGTCTGATGGTTGTACGATACATAATCATACAACCATCATGCATATAAACTTAATATAAATCAATCATGCCATGTTGATATATGATCGACATGGCATGCATATACACCATGTGTCTCATGGTTGTACGCTAATTAAACCAATGCTAATTAAAGCGACGCTAATTAAAGCAACTCTAATTAAAGCAACGCTAATTAAAGCAACGCTAATTAAAGCAACTCTAATTGAAGCAACGCTAATTAAAGCAACGCTAATTAAAGCAACGCTAATTCGAACACCGAATTAAAGCAACGGTAATTCGAACACCGCCTCATTCACTCGCGTTTGGTATGTTTCGCCATTTAATTGTTTTACTTGCTCGCTAGCGACTTGAACTTTTTTCATCCTGCCAATTATTTGAATGGTAAATTCCCTGAGGCCAGTGTAACGGCCGCAGCGCAAGTTCTATGTACATTTGAAAACGATGACGATTTTGCTTACGTCACGACGCGTTGTAAAGTTCGAAGAAACAAAATGCAAAACGCAGAGACAAAATTATATATTTTACAGGCAACAAATTAATTGTCTTGACCAAGTAACACTGCTTACTCGAGGATCATTAGAGTTGTCGATTATAGTTGTCGTAAACTAAATAACAATAAGATATTGCCAATTTGCCATTGAGTTACCGCATTAAAAACCAAATATACTTGCTTGTGTTGTACTCATCTTGGAAATGACGAAATACAAGTATAAATATTTCCAATTTCCCATTAAATGTCTACCATTCTCTTGCACAACCCCCCGAAGAATAATCTGATCCCCGGAAATGCAGTATGTTTCCTAGAATGCCGACAGACAAAAAATTTTTGCAAGTCGAGATTTCAGTTGACTTTACACTTCTCGGCCAAAGAGACTGCGCACGAGTAAATGTGAAAAACTTCATGTTGCGTCAGCAAGCAGCAGTAAGTGGATTGTTTTATTCTTTCGTAATGCACGAGTTTAGTTTTTTCATACCATTGATATATTTCTGCATTTCATCTATGCAAGACACGTTTTCGAATGTCCCAGCTGCTTCCATATAAAATATAAATTGAAGTAATATGCGAGTTAAACTGTTTATATCCTTATTTAAATGAATGAATTAAAGATGTGCAGAAGTGAAGATCTTTGCTTAAGATTTCCAGCAGCAATTTTTCCTTCTGATAAGAACTCCTAGTGCTAAATATTTATAGAGATGGACGTTGTAAAACTAGGCGATCGTTCGACTTTAGTAATTAAAATTGCTAAACTATACGTTAACAAAGAAGGTATACACAAACTAAAACAATTGTAAAAATCAACTTAGCTACATAACAGTCCCGCTTGTCGAGGCGACGCGCAGACCACGATATCCATGCACTATTGGTGCGACTACGAAATACTTATAAACGAGCACCTTTTTTTAGTACTTTACGACATGAATTTTAAGTGCGAGTGTGCTTGACGAATGCACAGAACCAACTGAGTGAAAAATGTAATTTTCGCAAAGTTTGTTTAATTGTAGTGCGAACGCTGGCGAAAAGAGTTCTGTTGCCGCAAGAACGATCTGGATCAACATCGCGAAATCGATCTTACAGCAAGCTAAGTGTAAAGAATCACTATATCAATATTTCGAAGACCAAGACGAGTCATTTCGATTAATGATATTGTTAAGTA